GGTTTCCCTTCCTCTTAGGATATCCACTTTGTTGGCCTATAAGATCCCAATGGAAGATGCCCTGCCTCTCTCTAGAGCCTTTGCCATGCTGGAAGAAGGTAGGTTGGAATAAATTTTGCAGTGATTTGTAGGGACCTGCAGACTGCCTGGCAGCTACATCAGGGGCAAATTTATTGGCCACCTCAATTTCAGCCACCCACAATGAACAGGTTAATGCAATACTATGATTTCTTGCCAGCTCCACCCACAGCTTTGAGTGTGAGTTTCTCAAAAAGGGTAATCAAAAAGAGTAATCTTTCCATGTCAAAAGTATGTCAAAAGCATACTTTGGATAAGGCACTAAGTTAACTCTTAAAAATCTGTGTAGATCAGAGGTGGTATTCAGCGGTTCTGACCAGTTCTAGAGAACCGGTAGTGGAAATTTTGAGTAGTTCAGAGAACCAGCAAATACCTCTTCTGACTGGAGATTTTACAGTATCCTTCCCCTGCCATGCCCACCAAGCCACGCCCACAGAACCGGTAGTAAAAAAAAAATTGAATCCCACCACTGGTGTAGATGATATCACAGTGAATAAACAGATATATGTTGGATAGAAATAGTAGTTGTACAAAGAGGAATGAAACAAATTATTACCCAAGTCAGGTGTAAATCAACCAGCTATAACTGACTTAATATTTTATTTACACAGCTAAACAGCACTTCAGTCTTGAAGAGTACAGCTTTTCTTTGAACACTTTGGAACAGGTAATGGCTTAGATATTCAAATAATATAGTGGTACTTATAGTGAGAAATTATTCTCTTACATACCTGAATTTAAAAAAAGCTGGTGTATAAGATATTTTGACTATTTGGGAGCAGGAGGTGACTGGAACAATTATAAGACTTATTTTAAATGTTTAAAATACCAGTGGGGAAAGTAGCTATTTAAAAAACATTTTAAACTAGCAACCTTCTCTAGGCTAAGGAGGATCTTAAGCGCTATGCTATCTTTGTAACCCTGATAAAGGGAGTTATAGAAACATCAGATGCATGATGGAAAAAAACAAAACATTTTAATGCTATCACCTTGCATAGATAAATTTACATTTGTGTTTCCACCTCAAGCAAGACGCAGACATAAACTGCTATAATCCATTGTACAATTATTTTATATTCTCAGATGTACCTAGATAGAAGTCAGAATCAATGTTAGCTGTTTATAAATCTAATGTACTGTATGTGCAATTCCTTTGTAGCTATTGATTTATTGTATTGTTCAGGTATTTCTGGAACTGTGCAAAGAACATGAGCGAGATTATTTTGAATCGGGTCCAACTTCTGAATGGAGAGAACTGTAGCATCAACAAGATAGTTGAAAGACTGATCAACAACCAAGGCAAACACCAGTTTCTTTCACCAAGAAAAATGGAGGGCAAATAGGTTGAGCACTCTGAGGAATGTTGTGCCTGGACATCCCCTGGGAAAAGATATTCTGTAATCTTCTCTATGTTTAACAAGTATGCCTAGTTGTCTGTTAGAAAGATTAACCCTCATATTTATCATATCTAGAGATATAACATTTTTGAATATTTCACAACTAACAGCAAAACAAATGTTTCTGCACTATTTTGTTTTCATGAGAAAAATGAAATGGAAATATATATATATATTTTAAAATATGTATTGTTTATAGCCTAGCACACAAACATGTATAGATGGTATTTTTAATCAGAATATGTTAATATTTTTAATTTAAATAACAAGTCAATGTATATCCAGTGTTTATTGGGTGGATAAATAAACACCCATACTCTAAATACTTATGTATTGTTGCCATCCTCATCTTCCATATTAATAAATAGTAATACAGCTGACCCAATTAACTATTGTACCGGGAGCCATTAAATATCATCACAAATTGTTTGTCAATCTGTTTCTTGTAAAATGACTAGAACAAGAAATGAATCTTTTAAATAGGAGAAATCCTCATGTGCCATTGTTAAACCATTAATTTGACAGAAAAACATACTGTTCTATCTAAGGGACAATTTTATGTAGACTTTATAGATTTAAAACCAGCCTTTGATTCCATTCTCTGTGGAAGAAATCTGAAAAGAACTCAATAGATTGTTAGTGATTCCAGTTGATTAAACAGCTGAAAGTAGATGCTCCTCTTCAGATTAGAAGTAACAATTTTCTTCCCCATCCTATGGCAGGAAGGGATTAAGTAAGGCTGCATATTAACATAGACTTTGTCTAATTTTTATATTTTATATTAGAAATTATCAGAAAAGAGCACCACTGACTTAATTTGGTGGGTCAGTGAAAAGCAGTTTTGTCACATATGGATATATTTATTAGCACCAATTGGGTTGAGTATATTATGGACTTTAGCTCTTTGTAAGGGGAACAGTCTGATAAATTACCAGAAGACAAAGGTACTGCTTTCAAACTACTACACA